TGTGTCTTGTGGGGACATGTCATTAACACTGCGTTCCTCAGCCCCTGACCATGAAAAATGAAGGCCTGACCTTGAGCCCCAGCTGTCACCCTGACACTAAAACCACATTTAGTCTCAAACACGCCTTCAGACTTCAGGATTTTGGTCCCCATAAGTGTAGTAAACTTCCAATCATTGGTCCCCACAAAGATATGAATACACGCTCATACGCACGCACACAGAAGGCATAAGATGACATTTTTCTTCTTATATTAAAAAGAGAAAATGCCTCTTGAAACACAGGCAGAGGTCAGTCAGCAGATTTTCATTTAAAGAACAACACATATGAAAATACACATGTGGTGTAGATCTGCTGATCCAGAGACAGAACACGTGAGCATCACTCAGATGTGTTTCAACATTTAAAACGAATGAAGAGCCTTCTCTTTGTTTGAGAAGCTCAAAGAACGTGCTGCTGAGGTATGACACATTTCCTTATCACAGAGTGTTCTTATGAATTTTATTCCAGATGTTAGGGTTAACTCTGTGCTTGTGTTTTATTGTGCGTTTTCTGAAGGAACATTCGGTTTGATGTGTGCACAGAGATCAGTCAGGATAGAGCGTGTCAGTAGAATCAGGTCGCTCAGTGAAGTGACTGCTTATCGTTGTGAATCTGCAGGTTCTGAGTGAATCAACGAACGCTGAGCTGCGTCTTTCCTTTTACTTGAACTTTAGTCGTATCACAGCGAACGTCCACTCAACCCGAAACAGATACCTGCAGAAGAACATGCAGGATCCAGTCTGAGCTCAGTGGACCAAACCAGGTCTTTCCTCATGCAGGTGCAGACCAATGTGGGATGGGCCTGATTGGAGAAATAGTTCATGTCCGAAACAGGAAGTATCTGTGGCTCCAACGAAGCCTGAAAATCTGTTGCTCTCTCAGATGGATGGTCTGTCCCTAAAACGGAGACTTTCACTGATTAGGGTTCAGTTTGAAAACTATAAAAATAAAGTCACACATCCTTCCAAAAAAGCTTTAAACTCTTCTGTTGCTTGAACTTCAGACTGAAGCCAAAAGCCCAGCTTGCATTCTGAACTTTATAAAGTTTCATTCTGCTTTGGCAGAAAGGACGGGACATTTAGGGTTAGGTCCTGTCAGACTGAAGAAAGACTTGTGACATGAATTTGTCTTTAGCTTGGGATTTTAAATACAACTCCGAACAGGATGTTGCTTCATGCAGCCGTGTGTCAGAAAGTTTGTCTGACTTTCAGGAAGAGCTGAGCCTCTAAAATAAGAGCTGACGAGCTGCTTCCTGTGAAAGCTCTGAGTCTGCAGAAGCAGCTGAGTCACACGGTCTCCTCAGGATTAAGACTCTGAATGATTCACCGTGAAGAAACTATTTCAGACATTTCAGGTCAAACTGCTGAAAAAACATGCGTGTTTGTGTTTCTGCGTGTGACGCTGACAAGGTTAGCCACCCGCTACGCTAACAGAGATACATGAGACAGGCGTAGCAACAGTTCAACACAAACCAGATGGAGCTAGAGGAGAGGGAGGACAATGAATGAGGGGGATGTTGGTTTTGCACTGATGTCGTGCTGAAACTCATACAGCTTTTGTTAAAACCACTCATCTGTGCAAGAAACGATCGTCCAATCATCTGCCGATCCTCTGCTAACTCAGCAGACTTCCTGCTAACACGCTAACAGGCTGAACGCCAGCAAAAGATCGCAATATATAGCATGCTGTAGGTATTACAGGTACTGCACTGCAGTGGTTTGTATCATATCTATCTAATAGACTCCAGTTTGTACATGTAAATGGAGAGTCCTCTTCACACACTGAGGTTAATTATGGAGTTCCACAGGGTTCAGTGCTAGGACCAATTCTGTTTACATTATACATGCTTCCCCTAGGCAGCATCATTAGAAGACATAGCATACATTTACACTGCTATGCAGATGACACCCAGCTCTATCTGTCCATGATAACACACACCAATGAGTTAAAAAGTGTAACTAATTAGTTAAACTTTGACCAGGACATGTCCTTCAACGCACATATTAAACAAATATGTAAGACTGCGTTCTTCCATTTGTGCAACATCTCTAAAGTTAGAAATATCCTGTCTCAGAGTGACGCTGAAAAACTAGTTCATGCATTTATTACTTCCAGGCTGGACGACTGTCATTGATTATTATCAGGAAGTCCTAAAAACTCACTGAAAAGCCTTCAGCTAATCTCAGTTTTTTAACCTTATAATATAAAGTACCTTGAGGTGACTGTTGTTGTGATCTGGTGGCTCACTTATAGTTCCTAGGGTATTTAAAAGTAGAATGGGACACAGACCTTTAGCTTTGAGGCCCCTCTTCTGAGGACTACAGACAGTGAATGTAAAAACAAACTGTAACTCCCTGGATGCATTTCACCAAAGTCAGTCAATTGTGAACACCAGACAGCATGTGAATATTTACTACTTGTCTCTGTCTTCACTCATGTCTCCACCTGCAGGAAGACCAGAACCGAGGGAAGCCAAACTGGGAGCACCTGAACGAGGACCTTCATGTCCTCATCACGGTGGAAGACGCCCAGAACCGAGCCGACATCAAACTCAAACGAGCTGTAGATGAAGTCACCAAGCTGCTCGTGCCTGCTGTGAGTCCCCTGACCTCTGACCTGTGTGTGTTTTTGTGAGGACAAAGGAAGTTCTACATATCCAGGCTTTCTTCAAGTTCGCTGGCTCGATGAACTCTAAAACTTGCTAATTATCAACTTTTTCTGTTAAACTGGGATCTCTATTAGCGCCAGGTGCTCTGACCAGAGACATTAAAGGTCTATGATGATGATGAAACCTGTAAAGAGGTGGAGCAGCAGAAACTGCTTAATCCGCTGATTTATGAGAGGTGTGAAATAAAGGTTTGAATGGCAGGATGTTGCTCTGAGCGCGCTCAGCGCTGCTGTTTGTTTCCTAGGTGACAGCTTCACATCACAGCTGTGAAACGTGACAGCTTCCTGTCCCACAGCCTGATGAAGGGCACGTGAGATCAGATCAGAGGGAACGAATGTGATTGGTTGAAAAGGCGTTCATGTTTCATGATCACATGAAAGGTAAATGACCTGTATTTGTACAGCGCTTTATTTAGTCCCTAAGGACCCCAAAGCGCTTCACACATCCACACATTCACACACTGGTGATG